CCGACTTGCAGCAGGAGAGGATACAGCAGCTGTTTGACTCTGGTCTGCACAGAACTTGTATTCAGGAGGTGTCACACCCCACTAACACGGGGCCAGCAGTGTTTATACAGCCAAGTTTGTTATCCTTTTGTTCGGATATTGTTTATTAAAACACAGTCATGTGACCTTTCAACAAGTGTAGTTTCATTTTATTTCCATCACTTTGTCTTGCTTAACTTTTTTTGTGTGTCAGTGAGTGTTTATAGTTTTGCCCCCCAAAAAATGTTGAACTTTGTATACATAAAAACTTTCGTGTTCCCACTGGAAAGTTAGATAATCATTGTTTTAAAAAATACATCTACAATGAGTTAGCGTATTAAACTGATATTTCCTTGTTCTGACAAACTGCTTTGTGGACAGATAAGAAGCTGTGAAATCCCCACAGTTCCCAGACCATCCTACACCCACCAGAAAGCATCCATCTTCCTGTTACTCACACAGACTCTTTTATTGTCCAAGAGAACTGACAAGATCAAGTGGAAAAATACCGTCTCAGAGGCCAAGCTTAAACGCCCCCATCTCCAAAGACTCATATTCTTTCAGTACCTGAGGGCCAGAAGTGATGCAGTAAAAAGATATGAACAGAGTCATCTGCTGTGCAGTGGCTGGCACCAAAGCTGCACAATTTGTCTGTCTTTGATTGGAAACACAAAGTGGCTGACTAAGGACATGTTTGTGTGCTTATTCAAGGGTAAAGTAAACATGGTGGGCTGCTAAACTCCCAGTCAGTTTTTCCCTTTAAAATCCACCTTTAATTATTTCATCAACCCACACCCTGAAAGGAGAAGCTTGTTCTGCAGAGCAGTAACTCACAGTCCGACTCTGACTCGTTAACGCTAATTAAGTCACACAAACTGAAGTTGAGAGATACCCTGATTCAAGCTCAGTAATCCAGGTAGAAAAATCCAACAAACTTAAGTCGGGAATAACTTTGTTGGATTTTTCTACCTGGATTATTGAGCATTAATGTTGATGTTTTGAACCACTTTGGCCATGACTGTTTCAAATGAGTCGGCAGGCGGAAGGGCGGACTCCAGAAATCATCTGAGCACCATCAAACTGGTTGATCCACTATGTGAAGGTGCTATTTATAAGACTAAGTTTGTTGCAGCTCCTCAAACAGATAAAGTCTTTTGGATGAGAGATGAAACCATCCATCCATTATCTTTACCCGCTTCTTCCTTTTCAGGTCACGGGGGTCACTGGTGCCCATGTCCAGCTATCACTGTGCGAGAGCAGGCAGGGGACACCTGGACAGGTCTCCAGTCCGTCACGGGGACACATAAAGACAAACAAGACAAACAACCATTCACTCTCACAATTTAGAGTTACCAGTCAGCCTAACATGCATGTTTTTGGTCTGTGGGAGGAAGTCGGCGTAACCAGAGAAAACCCACGCATGCACGGAGAGAACATGCAAACTCCATTCAGAAAGGCGCCCAGGCCGGGATTTGAACTGGGGAAACCTGCTCGCTGACAGGCAGCAGCTCTACCAACTGAGCCACCGTGCTGCACTGAAAGACAAAACCTTTCAGCAAAAGGAAATCGTCCAGAGGACTTAAATTAACTTTGTTAGATGAAGTTGAGAGAATTTCTCAGAAAATAAAATCTTTGTTTCTGTGTTTTATTTTTTGCAAAATTTTTATTGTTGATTTGAACTTCAACCTATGAATTGTGAATACGTAAATTAGTGCAAAGTTTCTGTTAGATACGGAGCAATGCCAGTGATAGCAGCTAGATGGCAGCTCCACAATCAAAACAAAGTTAATTTTTAATTTAAGTTAATTATTTGACAAGTTGTTGTGATTTTTTTTTTTACTGTTGTGCTGTCACTTTGGCAAATTTTGTGGGGATGATAATATATAAATACTTTTGTTTTTCAAAAAAAATTCTGAAACTTGTGTGATGTTGTCTTTTTAAGACATTTTGTTTTACTGTGTTTAAAATTAAAGCAGACCCCTTTAAGGTGGTGCCAGCCTAACACGCCGTTACACAACCATGTTTAAAACCCCACTTTCATTTATATTTATCAATATTTTATAGACAACAAAAAGAAGCATATTCATATTTTTAACAATCAACGTCACTGAACAGAATTTCAGTTTCAGTTTTATATCTATGTGCTTCCTAATTGCAGTGTATGTCTGTCTGTTCCTGAAGGGGATCATCAGATGTAGCAGAACACACACATACACACGACTAAAACACAACATGGTTTAAAAACACCCCAGAAAGATGACTTCTTTACTAAAGAAACATACTGATATTCATTAAACCTCAGTTTTGCTGTAAATGGTTTTAACAGAGGGAGGAGGTGGTGGGGGATGGGGGGGGGGGGCTGAATGACAGATGTTTATAAATGGTTTAAAGGATCTCCCAAGGCAGATTGGTTCTAGGTGACCGGCCAGACAAAGAGTGATTCCAAAGACTCTTATGGACATAAAACAGCAAGGAGCTCAGTGTCCCTTGCCCGGACGTGGATTACTGGGGCCCCACCCTGGAGCCAGGCCTGGGGGAGGGGCTCGTTGGCAAGTGCCTGCTGACTGGGTCTCTACCCAGGGGTGTCCACCATTGAGTTCAAGGATGGCCACTGCAAGAAGCACCAACAACCTTGCGGCCACAGCTCATGGCATCCACTTCAACAATTGAGTCACAGAAAAATGGACCACTCAGACTCAATGTCCCCACCTCAGCTGGGACGCTGTTAAAGCTCTCCCAGAGAGTTGAAGATCTTTCCAACGAGTTCTTCTGCCAGGTGTTCCCAGCAAACCATCACTATGGGCAACTCCAGAGTGGAATAAGGTCCAGCCCCTCTCAAGGAGATTGGTTCCAGAGCCCATGCTGTGCGTCGAGGTGAGCCCAACTATATCTAGTCGGTACCTCTTGACCTCATGCACAAGCTCAGGCTCCTTCCCTGCCAGAGAGATTACGTTCCATGTCCCAAGAGCCAGCTTTGGTAAGCCAGGGTCACAGCCCCAAGGCCCCCACCTTTGGCTACTGCCCATGGTGTCATGCACCCGACTCATATGGCCCTTCCTGCACGTGGTGGGCCCACAGGAAGGCAAACCCATGTTGCTCACTCGGGCTGAGCCCGACCGGGTTTCATGGTTAGGGAGGCTGTCAAGCTGAAGAAGGAGTCCTATTGATCCTTGTTGGCTGGTTGGACTCTGGAGGCAGCTGAGGAGTGCTGAAGGGCCAAGTGGTCTGCGTCCTTGGCTGTTGCTGAAGCAAAAGCTCGGATGTGGGAGGAGTTCAGTGAGGTCGTGGATAATGACTCTTGGTTGGCTCCGAGGAGATTCTGGAAAGCCATCAGGCAGCTGAGGAGGGGAACGCAGCTCTTTACTAATACTTACTAGTACTTTACTACTCTGTGTTCAGTGAAGGTGGGGTGCTGTTGACCTCAAACAGTGATGTTGTTGTGAGGTGGAAGGAATACTTCTCAGACCTTCTCAATCCCACCGGCACGTCTTCCATGGAGGAAGTGGAGTCGGGAGACTTCGGGTTGGTCTGTCCATAATCATGGTTGAGGTTGCTGAGGTAGTTAAAAAGCTACATGGTGGCTGGACTCCGGGGGGTGGATGAGATTCGCCCCGATTTCCTTAAGGCTCTGGATGCTGTGGGGCTGTCTTGGTTGACAACATTGCATGGACATTGGGGGCAGTGCCACTGGATTTGCAGACCTGGGTGGTGGTTCCCCTCTTCAAAAAGTGGGGTGCGCTCCAATTACAATGTCCAATTACAGGGGCATCCCTCTCCTTAGCCTCCCTGGTAAGGTTTATTAAGGGATACTGGAAAAGCTACTCCAATCATTGGTTGAACCTCAGATCCAGGAGGAACAATGTGGGTTCCATCCTGGCCGTGGAACACTGGACCAGCTTTTTACTCTCACTAAGGTCCTTGAGGGGTCATGGGAGTTTGCCCATCCAGTCTACATGTGTTTTGTGGACTTGGAGAAGGCATTCGACTGTGTTCCTCGGGGTACTCTGTGGGGGGTGTTCCGAGAGAATGGGATTGGGGGCCCGTTACTACAGGCTGTTGGGTCCCTATACAATCAGTGCGAGAGTTTGGTTCGCATTGCCGGTAGTAAGTTGGACCCCTTCAGGGTGGGAGTTGGACTCCACAAGGGCTGCCCGTTGTCACTGATTCTGTTCATAACTTTTATGGACAGAATTTCTCGGTGCAGCCAGGGTGCGGTGGGAGTCCGGTTTGGTGGCCTCAAGATTCCATCTCTGCTCTTTGCAGATGTTGTGGTCCTGTTGGCGTCTTCAGCTCTCACTGAAGTGGTTCGCAGCTGAGTGTGAAGCGGCTGGGATGAGAATCAGCACCTCCAAATCTGACGCCATGGCCCTCAACCGGAAAAGGGTGGATTGCTTTCTTGGGCTCTGGGCCTCCCTGCTCAAGCTGCTGCCCTCGCGACCCAACATCGAAACAAGCGGAAGATAATGGATGGATGGATGGATGGATAGATGGATGGAGTATTTTACGTCACTCACTGCTCATCCACAGGAATGTTCAGACCACAACTCCCAGCACCTAACATGGTGCATGGTAAAACCTTTGGTCGCTGATTAACTGCTTCCCTTTTCTCCAAAGCAATAGTTTGCCGGATGTGGATGTTATTAAAAGTTCAATGAAAAGCACTGTTGTGGTTAATGCGGCAAAAACAGCAGGCAGGAAGAACAGTCAGTTGCTCTTTTCAAAGAGACATTTTTTTAATTCTTGACAATACAAATTTGTGTACGAGATTAAAAAAAAAATCAAAGCCTTTTTACAAGCAGTAATGACAGGCTACGTAACTTATGTAAAGACCCCGTTTGTTTGTCATTAAAACTTCAGTGCAGGCACACAACATCCCCTAATTAGCCAGCCTGCCCTCATGCTCTGCACATGTTGGTCACTGTCACTCGTGCTCGTTGACAAATGCAAGCAGCGAGCAGCCGCTGATGTGAGGGGAAAAGTACCTCAGTAGATCCTGTGAAAGCCACTTTGTCTATGCCCATGTGCGAAGCGATCGCAGCTCCTGCTGTTGGACCGAATCCTGGCAAAATATTGATGACTCCCGGTGGAAACCCGGCCTGTCAAAACAGTATGAGAGGAAACAAGTTTTAGCGGAGATGACAACAGAGCCAAGCAAAACCGCAGGCAGTGTGGGGGAATCCGGACCCAACCCAGCCTGCCTGCAGAAGGAGAGCAGGGATAACATCAAAAAGAAGAAAGCCACAGACAGATAGTCTCCCAAAAAGAGGCGCAGCCTGGGAGGACTCAGGGGAGACAGGGATGCTTGGATTTACACATTAGATTGTGGTGCGATAAAACTTTGTTCCTGTCCTGTTCAAGTTTCCTTCTTTTCTGTCCAGCTGAAGATTTTATCAGAAAATAAATACAGCTGCACTCACCAAATACACCACAAGCCACTGGATACAAACTAAATTCACATTTGTTTGTGTTTTTGATTATGTTTTATGTTGACTCGAACTTTATGATTTATCACGCACTAATGCTTCATGAATTATATTGTGCATGTCAGCACTTTCACGTGATGCGTCAGCATTTATGACGTTCAAGTTAAATGTGAAACCATAAGCAGTTTTTCAAATTCTCTTTGTTCAAAACTGAGCAGTCACATCACCGTTCAAATACACACACGTTTGAACGTTATTAACACATATCCAAAAACTCATTTTCTTCTTGAAAGTTTTGATTTGATTGTTAATTTGTTTTTAAATACTCCAAACTACCAAAACCCTGACTCTGTTTGGAGCAGCTTTGGTCAGAAAATGTATTGTTTTAGAGATGCTTTTATTTGTAGGGATTTGTGATGCCATAAAATTATCCAGCTTCTATACCTGAACCAAGAGCTCAATCCATTCAAAGCAAAGTGAAGGTAGGACTAAGGGGGAGGAGCTAACAGTGGATAACTCCACCCACTACAACCAGCCGCTCTGAAAAGGGCTGAATGAACAGAGTTAAGGGGAACATTGTTACGTTTTCCTGCTGTCAAGGTCCTCAGTGTAACACTGCAGGAGCTATGCTTACAAAAAACGTTTAACAAGAAATTGTGAATATTTTAATGAAAACTTTTGGTTCAGATGTTCTTTTAAAACATAATGTATTAATTTGAAATGACTGCTATGAGTACAAAACTGCAGCACTTCATTTAATAAGTAATAGAATATTTCTGCAGTTCACAGAGCTCATGGAGGTAAGTAAGGTTTAAACAAGAGTTTGAAACAATCAGGAAACAAAGTAAATGTAACAAGTGTGTTGGGGTTTTTATGGAGTATGACACTAGAAGGTAATTAAGACAAGTAATATAAAAAGGTAAAGTTCAATCTATTTTTTGTTGTTTATTTTTCTGTTGCTTCATTGTGGGAACAGGCTCCCATCTGGAGCCGTTCTGCGTGGAGTTTGCATGTTTTCCTTGTGTTTGCCTGTTTTTTCCTGGGTTCTCTGGTTTCTTCTAGATAAAAAAAATGCATATTTGGTTAATTGGTAACTATAACTGGTCCCTGAGTGTGAGTGGTGGTTTGTTTTGTTTGTCTCTATGTGTCCCTGTGATGGACTTGGGACCTGTCCCAAGGTGTACGTTGCATCTCTACAATTACTGCTGGAGATAGCTACTCCATGACCCAGAGTGAAAAAAAACACCAAAAAAAACGGATAAAGTGGATGGATGAATGGATGGTTTGTTTGTTCACACAAGATTTACAAATTGCTTTACATATTTTGGTGAAAAGGTAGGATATACTGTATGTTGTTTGATATTTAATGTATATATATATATATATATATATATATATATATATATATATATATATATATATATATA